AACCGCAACGTGTGACCCTGTTCCACGGTGCCAACTTTTCGTAATTAAAATGGCGCACAATTCAAACGCTGCGTTAGTTTTGGGACCACCTTTATTTTTACATTATAACCACTTTATTATCGGAACGTACTTAAGGACCATTGTGTATTATGCATTTGTTAGGAGAAAACTACCTTTGCAATTGCAGTATCTTAAACGCATAAGTCAATCAAATGTTGTATTTGAAGAAGTCAAAGTAGTTATTTAAGTAAAGAGGTGTTTCATGAGCTTTCTTCGACTGAAGTATTTGAATTTACTATTGAAAAAAGCTAAACATTTGACTGATGACTGATTTTCAGAAAATAATAAATTAGCAATACATGTTAGGCAGACGCCAATAAGCTTTTTAGGAACACAATATTGGATGATGCATTCCTTAGAATTGATGTAACTGTCATTAATATTTGGTGCAGTCTCTGCGTCCTTTGGGAATATACAGTGGGGCTCACTAAGTACCGAATACTTCTCTAATGTTTTTTTTTTTGAGACGTGTATACAAAATTAATATTTTACGTGCAAGAAGTAGAGAAAAAACTCAATTATTTATTAAAAAAATAGGTAAATAAGTCGTCTAATTCTAACGAGACATGTTTTCGTTTAGACAAATTTAACATCAATCAGATTTTAATATTCAACATCGCAACCCGGTAATTTTGCGCATCGGCGATTTCTTTGAAGGAAAATAAGAGTTAAAAAATGACGCTTCCAACAGAAGGCCTAACCTCAGGCTGTCTCCGAAACAGTGACGGTGTCCCATTAAGATTTCAGTTGTTTTCAGCGTCTTGGATCCGGCGACAGTGGTGAAATTAATAAGCCCTTGTTTTCTTCCTTCTTTTGTGCAAATACGACGTTTCAAATGGCAAAATAAAACAGGCGTCTGGTATTTTATTTATGGCGTAAAATCTTATTCTGATTTAAATTTAAATCATGTTTAGGTAAATATTACACTTTTACGATGAAAGTAACTGAGACTCGTAAGTTAGAAAAGAAAATTCATAATTAATTAGAGGCGTTGGTGGATCAGGTTAGGGAATAATTACGCAAGAATATAGCTAACGAAGCTGTACAGGAAAGCTTATAAAACCTTCTCTATATCCGTTTTGATCCGTTGACAACTTCTCTACAAAATTTAATTAGTTTTGACTTCCACCAGATTTAAGTTTTAACAGTACTCACTTTTTAGTGTTACTGTTAATTATATTATTATTAAAATTAAATTAAAATCATTTGTTCGTTCCTAGTCAGAATCTGAAGACATGGTACCTTTAAGATACGGTAAGAAATGGATTCGGCGACCCTAGGAACGTATAGATATGTAGGTTTAGTTTGTTGGCAATTGATTCTCTACATTTGACCTTGAACTGAACTTAAACCAGATCTGATCGAGTCAAACGGACACTGGATTCGGATTCGGCAACCCCAAAAACGTATAGATACGTAGGTTTAATTTGTTGACAATTGATTTTCTACATTTGACCTTGAACAGACACCGGATTTGGATACAGCGGCCCCAAAAACATATAGATATGCAAGTTTACTTTATTGGCAATCGATTCTCTACATTTGAACTGACCTTATCCCAGAGCTATTCGGGTCAAACGGACCCCGAATTCGGATTCAACGACCCCAAAAACGTATAGATACACTGGTTTACTTTGTTGACAATTGATTCTCTACATTTGACCTTGAACTGACCTTAACGCAGATCTGATCGGATCAAACCGAAACCGGATTCCGATTCATCGACCCCAAAAATGTATAGATATGTAGATTTACATTGTTGACAATTGATTCTTTACATTTGACCTTGAACTGACCCTCAACCAGAGCTAATCGGGTCAAACGGACACCGGATTCGTATTCAACGACCCCAAAACCATATGGATACCATGGTCTTGTCTTTAGAAACTGCCACTTTTTTTGTGGGGCTGTGTAATTTTCTTTACTGTAAAAGAACCTTATGGAAAATGTATTCATATCTGAAAACTAATTTATCTGTAACCATTCACCTTTCCTAGAGTTCTGTTAAAAAAATAAGTCACCTTCTACAAATTTTTAGACATATTTTAGCAACCATTCACCTTTCCTAGAGTTCTGTTAAAAAAATAAGTCACCTTCTACAAATTTTTAGACATATTTTAGCATTTTTTATACATATTTTAGCATTCTAAACTCGAGAAATTAAAAAAGCATATAATTTTAACACACCGCATTGCGTTTGCCTGACCATGCATACCTCATAAAGTTTCTCTAATGACGCAGGATGTGATGGTAAATTTCCCGGCGGGGAGCTGGATATGCAAGTTGGCGCGACAATCAGCGGGTACAATTAAAGGGATGACGCGCGGTGATGAAGCCTCCCACGTAATCTGTTTTGGTCGACCTCGAACTTTTAGGCCGGTATACATATAAGCACCTTAAAATCAATAAATAAAATAAAATTGCACCACAAAACAAATTTTGTCAATAAATTACACAAAAGCGGTAGGTATAAATTGTGACGTTATAATTGAAATGTAAATTCACAATTACAATGTCAAGTGTCTGTAAAATAACATCAAATATAATTCATGAGATCAAATGTAAATTCATCAGATTAAAAACTGGCAAATTTACCAAACAATTACCCGAAATATGCAACTTTCCTGTAAAATTACAATTGTTTGTTTACTTGCAGTCTGAGATTGAATTACTGTATTTTAATATAAACTGAAATTTTAATGTAATTGCTACTCGTTGCAAATTGTACCAGTAATTTACCAATACACTAGCAAAATGAATACCGTAAAATTACAACCATGTAGACAGGTTACCTACTTGCTGCAAGCAACTGCAATTGTTTATTGTCATGCAATTATAATAATTGAAATATAAAATTACATTATCACGTGTCTGAAATGTTGTTCTTAATCTATTGAAGTAGTAAAAGCTAGCAGATTTAACAAATAAATACTTGAAAGGTATAATTTTGCTGTAAAATTACAAACCTGTTCGTAATATATCTTCACTCATGGACTTGGTTAACAACTGGCTAATTTACCAAACATTTACCCAGAACACATAATTTTAGAACTGTAAAATTACAACTATGTCCATTGCAGGTAAATTACACTGAAAATGTTACGTCGATATTACAGAAATTCAACTGAAGAAACTGAGATTTGCAAGACCATTACTCAAAAATGTAATTTTCCTGTAAAAATACAATTGTATTTGATTAGAAATAATAATCACAACGATATTTTACAGTTTTAATACTGAAATTAAACCAGTTACTGGCGTATCTTATTATTATAGAATAATTTCAGGATACCTGCAGTAATACTTTTGTCTCAACTGTACTTCCAGTCACATAATGTAATGTAGTGAAATGTAATTTTATAATAAAATTACATTACATGTTTTACATAGACTTTAGTATGTAATAATTGTTAATTTTAGTATTTTGTATTCAAATTAAAGTATTTATTTTTAAAACTATTATGTATATGTAAACATTTCTAGTTTGAATTATTACTGTTTATAGGTGTCGTAACCAAAATTTCACGATTAAATTAAAAGCCTCACTTCAACCGTGCTAAAAATTAAAGTGGCGCAAGCAAGTTTCCAATGAGATAAATTCGTTGATGTTCTGGCAACTGCAGTGTCATGGGATTGCGGTCTATTTAGATATCTGGGAAGTACAAATGCGACGCGACCACGCAATTGAAATGGGATAAAGTGCTCGAATGAAAATTTGTGTTAACACTTGTACTCGCCTGCGAATACACATGAATCGGTTATTTAATAAATGGATGGCTGCTGCAGCGGTCAACGCGCTTAAAATTCGATTTGTACGAAATGCATCAGACACATTTTTCATGGGTTGTGTGCTAGGTGTTCGATTTTGTATTTATCGCTGTAAATGTTTACCTACATTACAAATATTTATTGTCTGAAGTTGTGGCACAGTTTTCGTTTTTTTTTTATTTATTGAGTATTTTGACATGTGTGAAAAAAATGTAAACAATTTATTTGGTACTCCATGATTATTTTTATGTTAATAGTTTTTCTGTAGTGTTTTCAGGGTTTCAGAGTACCGTGCAAAATTGTTTCTCCCTTGGAGCAAAAAGGCAATGAGGAGAATACCTTTACGGTCTCAAAACAAAATTGCCATGTTTTTCTTCACGTTGTTCATCATGAACATTCGTTTTGCGAGCTTTATGCTCACGACACCACTTGTACACATTAGTACGGTACATCACAACATCCCAACAGTTTTGATTTCGTTAAAAATCTGGAACGGCGCCTTTTTCTTTGCAAGAAGAAACCGGATTACGCTACTCACCTCGCGATTGGCGGGATTCGGAAAAGCTCATTTCAACACGCCACTACAACAACAGTTCTCAACTGACTGAGACAAGTGACCTCGCTTTCTGCTCCCAACACCTTGACATTAGATGCAGTGTTGCCAACTTTGTCGAAAACTAAAGCCACAAAGCATCAGGGTCTCAGTACTCTTACTTTGTGGATATACTTTGTACATTAATAAAATAGTTGACATCCGAATGTTTATACAGGTGTTAGAAAAAAGGAGTAGAATAACTTAGTTATAAATAGTGTTCATCAAAATGAGAAGAAAGGATCCCATGAACATATTTTTTAATTCATATTAAGGAAGTGTACATCATACCGTCAATAGATTTTATTGATATATATTGATTTTATTGATAACAAAAGATGGCTATATATCAACATTGATCGTGTGCCAAATTTAAAAAGAAATATCTTGTTTAAGAGTTTGTATTTTTACTTTTTCATTTCAACTTTAAATGGCTGTAACTCGTTAGCGGTGTATTTTGGTATCTAGGCAAATTAGCTTCAAAGAAGCTATTTTGACCTGTAGTTTCTACTATATAAGTTTGGCTATCTTGAAGAAACTGTAATAAAAGATATAATTGCACGTTTTTTTTCCTTTGCAGGGGCCTACACGCCCATAAAGCATCTATCCTTAAGAAGTCTGCTGCCAGATACAGATAGCTTCATGACGTACGAGGGCTCCACGACGCATCCGGGATGCTGGGAGACTACAGTCTGGATCATACTTAATAAGCCCATTTATATTACCAAACACGAGGTAGGTAATCGCGAGATGCATTGTTTTCTTCATTTATCTGCGACTAAGTGGCAGATAGTGCCCAAAAAGGGGTAATCAATTCCAGATTCGGATTCGGTTCTCGACGTGGTCGATAGCGCATTGTAATGTGTAATGTATACAGGGTTAGTCGCTCAAATTCTCCGGAGGAACAGTATATCTCTTAAATAGTTTTCTTTTTTCGTAATATTCTGTAACAATATAATTAATGCAATAAGTAATTTTATTTATAAATATGGAAGCCCTATTGACGGAACTTCCCCTACAAAAAAAAAAACAATTCGTGGCCCTTCCACAGTCTCCCGTAGAAAAAATCCATTGTCTTAGAAATTCTATATTTTGCTGCAGCAGGGAGCATAGCGCCGTAGTGGGAAAAAACATTTTGGGATGTTAAATAACTTCTTGTTTTTTCGTAGAAAAAAAATTTAAAGAACACATCGCTGAAAGTATTGTCCATCGCTAGCTACTACTTTTCCCCCATCTTTTTGGCAGCATTTTAATTCCATTTTGAGGCGATCCAAGAGTCAACCCATTTTTGGCATCTTCATAAGAATGGCTGCTCAATCACGCCACGTGCTATCGATCGGAATAAGAGATAACCGGAAGGGTCAGTATCTAGTGAATACAACGGGTGGAGTAGGACTTCCATTTAAGTACATATTTCCAAGTAGGTTTTCACCAATTTTTCAGCATGTGGCCGAGCGTTGTCATGCTGCAAAATGACTTAGTCATGTCTCTGTTCTAATAGAGATTGGTTTTCCTTCAACGCTCAGTTCAAACGCGGTTGTAGTCGATAACGATCTCTCGTGATGGTTTCATCCTACCAATGCAAAGCAGAAACTTGGAACTATGGATATTCGGCTTTGCTGACGATGTTGACGCATGTCCGGGATTGTCCCAAGGTTTTCTACACTAAGGATTATTGTAGCGTATTCATTTTTCATCGCCAGTCATAATACGATACAAAAAACCTGTCCTTCTCTGCTATTTAAGCAGTTGTTCGACGCGACATCTCTCGGTTTCGATTCATCATTATCTTTAACGTTTCGAATTTGTTGTGTGATCAACTTCTAATGTTTCTGCAAGTTCACCTAGCAATCCTCCATGTTCAAACAGTTTCGGTGTTCTTCATTTTCAACATCAAAATCATTATTTTTTAGGCTTCTAAACCAATATCTGCATGTTGTTTGCGAGGGAACGTGATCGCCGTAAGTCCCAACAAATATTTTGTATGCTTCAACTGCAGATTTTTTTTAATAACAGTGCAGTAAAATTCCCCAGAAATACTCTTTTTTCAGCGCGAAAAAAAAGTTGTTTACAATTTAGCGAAATAACATACACTAAATTTCAAGTTTGCTTATAGTACTGATTATTAGAGCGTAAGCAGTTCTGGTAACGATATTTGTTGGAAAACAGCGAGAACTTATTCAACGTCCCTATAACTTTCTAATGTCTATGTCAACAGTGAATCATTTGACGGTTAATAGTAATTGATTATTTAACAAAGCGCAATCAACATGTATCACATTCATACTGGTTTTATTGCATGCATCAATTAACTCTAAATTTAATTTTGCACAGCAACGAATATTATGAATGGCCGTCCACATATGAGTAATTATTTCAGTAATAAAATAAAGAATTATATATTTTATCCTCCGACACAACAGAATTGATTGCGACCACCGGTAATGCAGCTAGCTTTGTTTGGGTGTTAAAGTTGCGTATTATTTATTTGCACTCGGTTAGTGCACTTGGAGCTCCAATTCCCCTAGGCCTTTTAAATATTCGACGGGGCATAACAGCGGATCATTTTAATTAATTATAGATGTATATTCAAAATTAACAAATATCCAGTGGCATATTAGCCAATAATATGTTGTTTTATTTGTTATTAATCGTGTAATTATTTTTAAAAATCACGCTGTTCGTACTTTCATTTCCTTCAAGAAAAATTAAAACCTTTAATCCCTTTTGAAGTTAACCACAGGGATAAGAGACTTTACAAGTTTATGAAGTCACACTTTTTTCACAATAAGCGAAAACAATTGTATTGTATTGTATTGTATTGTATACAGTACAATACCTTTTTAGACTATCAATCAAAAACGTACATTATAAATTTTATTAATAAAATAATAACTCATCTACGGTCTGGTATCTAAAATGAACATAATAAGGCAATTATTGATTATTATTTTTCAACAGCCAGCGATATTTAAGGCAATGCCAAAGACAATGTATTTACTTTCCATGTATACGTATACCTTGAACGCGTATGTACGCATATGCTTCACCAAAAATGAAACCTCGTATTTTTGGTTAATTTTAAGGGGAGGCTTTCGTATAAAGGTTTTATCTAGGACGCTTCGTTAAAAAGATACAGTGTGTTAAACTTAAAAAAATATTTTTAATTTTTTTAAATAATTTAATAATTAATACCTAAGTGAAATAATTTGAAATCGGGCACATGTAAACATTGTCCAAAATCTGGGACCTTTTCCTAAAATTTAGGTGCTCCAGTTTAGCCGTGTTTAATCTATGTATTCCTTACTAAGTAGTCAGAGATTCCTTACTGTTGTAGTCAATACTTTCCTTTCGAACTCCACAGCTTCTTATCCTCCTTACGCATACTGCGACTAAGCAAATCAGTTCAAGTAACAAGATTTAAGAGCGTTATCAGCGTCTTGCCTTAGATTAGATGTCCTTGATATTGCTGGTGCTGCCGCTTCTGTTGTCGTTGTTGTTGTAGTTATTGTTGCCGTAGTAGTGGTGGTAGTAACAGCAATAGTGGTAGTTGTAGTTACCATTGTCATTGTTGTCGTTGTTATTGATGCTATTGATCTGCAGCAGCAACATCAACAGCAACAACTACAAATACAACAACAACAACGACAACAACAACACCAGCAGCAGCTGCAGCAGCAGCAAGAACAACGACAGTAATAGCATGTACATCAGCATCAGCAGCGACAGTAACAAATAAAGCAAACTTCTTTAATCTATGATCAGAGTATTCCTTACTAAGTCGTCAGAGATTCCTTACTGTTGTAGTCAAAACATCCCTTTCCAACTCGGCAGAACGTTTCTTATCCTCCTTACGCATACTGTCAAATAAGGAAATCAGCATTGTCATTGTTGTCGTTGTTATTGATGCTATTGATCTGCAGCAGCAACATCAACAGCAACAACTACAAATACAACAACAACATCAGCATCTGCGGCAGCAGCAGCAGGAACAACGACAGCAATGACATGTACAACATCAGCAGCAGCAGCAGCAGCAGCAACGTAACAACTAAAGCAGACTTCTCTAATGTATTATCAGAGTATTCCTTACCAAGTAGTCAAAGATTCCTTACAGTTGTAGTCAAAGCATTCCTTCCCAACTCGGCAGAACGCTTCGTATCCGTTTTGGATGTAATCAACAGCCTATAGATAGAGGACGTCAAAATAAAACAATTGAGAAAAGGGGGTAAAATGTCACTTCTCACCGAAATACAGGGTGTTTTATCTGAAATTTTTCTTGCTATTTCTTGCGTTTGCTCAAGAACCGTTGAAGATATAGAATTTAAAATGTAGGGAAATGCATTTTAAAAACAAATTACGATATGTGAATAGTTTTCAAAATACTGGTAGGGGACGTTAGTGACGTCCTAGAAAATTACAAAACTATGCTGAGACTTTTTAAATGGTAGCATTATGGCAATTTTTATTACGTGCTATGATGTAAAAATTCTTTCTAAAGAAAGAAAGATATACTTGTTTGAACACGTTAAACCCAATCGTTTTAGAGAAAAACTTGAATTAATTTTCAAAGTGGATTGATAACAAAGAAAAACAAAAAAAACTAGTCTTTCTATCAACACACTACATTTTTTAACTAGCATATTTAATCTATACATTTTCTATATATCTATAATCAACCTTTAATTAGATTGCGCCTAACTTGAGGTCTTTCTTGATTATTTTTTATTAAATTGGTAGCATCTTGTATCTTTAAACAGAGTTTCTCTCTTGTAGGATCTTTATTTACTATTTACAACTCCTTAAAAAAAAGTCAAGCAGATTTAAATCTGGGCTGCATGGTGGCCACAGGAATTCGCTACCACGTCCAATCCACCGATGTGGAAAACGCTCGTTTAAATAAGAACGAACTTGATTTCGAAAACGAGCTGATGTCCCTTCGTTTATAAACAATTGCTTTCAAGCACATCATCCACTGGTTCTTCCAAACAATTTTGTAAAAATTTTAAGTACAGGTCGCCATTAAGTCTACAAGGAAGCTCCATGGTCCGACTAAACAATTTTCAGTAACTTAACACCAGACGTTAATGAACTGAATGAATTGAAGAACTTATTACCATTATACCACAAGACAAACAGCGTGTAATTATTTGTGAATTTTCCACTACGCCAGTTCTGCTCCTTGCTCCACCGGTATTATTTTAGATTGTCCATAACTAATTTTTGGATGAAAGAATCCGGTTACGCCTAACCGACCGTAAAGATATTAAAAAATTTGTGTCCTAGTTGTCTCCTACTGGAATATATTGTAAAATACCGTCTTGTTGCAACATGTTCACAAAAGTCTTCTTTAGCGTAAACACAAACCATATCCCTCATTTCTTCATTAAAACAATTATTTTGTCGAAACGTGCTTTAAAATTCAACGCTAAATTATGTATCAAAGGGAATAGCAACAACACAAATTAATTAAACCGGCCAAATAGACTTTAATAGTTGTTTCAATTGTTATCTGCAGATATTTGAGAGACCTAAACATACTTTGCAATTGTGTTAGGTTTTTGATTGCTTGGAAATGCACGGATACGTTAATTCAGGTTTTTCTTTAAAACGAATGGCTATAACAAAATTCAAACAATCATAACTTTTTTTGTTTACAAAGAATTTTGATGTCGTAATAGCTAATAAACATAGCCATAAAGTTACCATTTAAAAAGTCTTATCATAATTTTGTAAAATTCTATGACGTCATTAGCATTATAAGAATATTTTTCTTATACGCATAATTCATAGGTTTCGTTTAAAATAAAAATCACATTTATTCAAATATATTTTAATATGTTTGACCTACAAAAGTGACAGAAAAGTCAACCTCCATCAGGTAATTTATGCAAAATTTTATCTTCATATTATTAAAAAAAAGACGTTGATAAAAGTGTGTTTCTATAGCACTTTTTACATCCATTCTTGTTATCAAAACAACACAAAAATATGTCGGTATAAGAAAAAACATAATGTAAAATTTCATCCCACTTTTTTTCGGAGTTGTTAATAATTTTTTTGTAACCTTTGACATCCTGTCTCTTCCAATGAAGCCCCTAAAAGAAAAATTACTGCACGTAACTTTCATTATCTTCACCAAGCACCCCTGTGGTCAACCACTCGCCAATTTTTTTGTAACACCCTATAGAATATACGAGAAATTTCTATAGTGCATATAATTTCCATATTTTCCTAAATCACTTAACTGAACTTTTTTAAATAAATCATTAAAAAAACTTACACAACCGTTAAAGTACAGAAGTAGACAAAGTGCAATAACTCTTGTAATTTGGTTGCAGTTGTACTCATTGAGAAAATTAATGCAAGGATCGGAGGAGGCGCCGAAGGCTCCCCTGGGAAATAACGCTCGCCCCGTTCAGCCGCTCCACCAAAGAACTATTCGGACAAATATTAACTTCAAAAACTCCGAAGTAAGTACCCGCCTGCCTTATACTACTTTTATTGCTCCAGGTAAATTGTCATGTGGAATGAGCTCGTCTAGTCGGGCGCGCATTTTTCTCACACATTTTTATTGCCTCCATTCAAATAGGAGCCCAACTCGCATTATTTATAGAATTTAATTTTCCCTGCAAGCCGCTTTCCTATCTTAGTCTATTTCACGTAAGCGAATGTAAAATTTTATATTAAAAAAAAACTTTGAAATATCATTATTGCCTCTCTATTATAAAATGTTTTATTTTATTAGTAATACTAAAGTAACCCATTATTACATAGTCGAATACCCAGAATTAGCTGAAACTGTAAACTACATCTAGGTTCCAAGAGCCTTAAAGCCACAAAAAAATAGAAACATGGTAAAAAGATGCGTGATTTTACTAAAATTTGATCTACCTGCCTATCTCAAAAACTGATTTTTGGTATCCACAACCAGATAGTGTACTGTTTTATTAAATCAGTTCCCATCTTCCAATAACGTTGGTGTTCCGTTTTCTACATTTGATCATATCGTGGAACATGATTTTGTACACCAGAATTCTCCATCAGAGGCCGGTAGTTGCTTTGAAATGTGGTAAATGGATCTAATTTGTTTTGTTGCCTTCGTCCACTCTGATACACCCTCGAGATTGCATGATTTCCTAGAGGTTTTCAAGTGAGTCTTGTTGCACTTAATGTTTTCGGGATACTTCGAGTATTCTCATGTTATGACTCTGTCTTCTAGGCTTTAGGAAATATAAAATCTTCACGGAGCTTGTGTAGTGTGTGTGTGAATTTGGGCAACTTCTAGAAACTTATTTTATGCCTTAGGATCTTCACCGCAAGATTGCACAAAGGCCTTGATGAATAGGGCACTAGAATTGAGGTCCGGGATAAGAGCAATGTGCTGGCAAAAACATTTTGAACATTTTTGAATGTTTGAATTATTAAAAATTGGATTTATTGTTAAAATATGTATTTATCAAACGAGTATTTGATTATTATTGATCGCAATGCAAAATGGCAATAATTTAAAACGTACTATAGGTAACAGTCAGATTATCAGATTATGTTCCTGGTTAATGAACGGCAACGCATCAAGGTCGACGTACGATCACATGCCATGATGGATCCGCAGAACTCCTGTAGTGAAGTCTGCCTTAGGTTTGGATAATTTTACCCATCTATGGATTGTCTCCTACTGGAACTGATGATTGACCTGGAGTCTAACGTGGTACTTTGATTTTGTCTTCCGATTCCCTAGTTCGAATTCCGTAATATTCGGAAAACTTTTCAGTGTCCGAAATTCGAAACTGAGGTGAATTTTCTATTTTCGCATAGCACTGTTGGCAGCTACTCTGCTGACGACATCGGCCTCGGGCGGTATCATCTGCTGCGGCGACTAAGAACTTTTTAGGAACTTCGGTGGAAATTTTTGGAAACTTACTTGAAATTATTATTTTCCGTGCTTTGCTTTCTACTTCTCGAGAAGGATAGTTTGGATTCCTTCGGACATGTGTCTCTACTTCGACTGAGATTAGCCCTGCGTAGACGGCTTCATGGTTCCGATCGGAAAGTTGTGTGAAAATGTGAAATCCGCTCGAGACTATGACAATACCTTATTAGTTAATGTTCACAGCACTATGTTCACAAAACTAGAACACTGCCATAACAAACAACAGTCATGTGGTACATTTGAACTAATACATTTACATTACGGTAAATAGTGTAGTATAACAACCCCGGGTTCGATCGAAAAAAATATAAACGTAGTTGTGGCCAAAAATATGTGATCGTCATAAGAAATACCTACGTTGTATATATCTATTTTCAATTGACCGGAAGGCGCTGGCTACTAACTTTAAAGAGGGGAAGTATGGTTTAATTTTATAAAACAAAAGCAGAGTAAATACACCTAACTTTATTATTTACGTACAACAGTCTTCAAATTAAACATGTGACAAATAGAAAGAGCAACAAAAACATTAACAACCATTTACCATAAAATGAGAGTGTCAGGCTCACCTAGAGCTCCTGTGGGGAAAGAGCATGGCAGAGAAACCCACGATCGTTACTCTAACTACCCAAACAACCTATAACAAAAGGCATAAATTAAGATCCTTTGCTAATGATAAATAACACCCGACTTATTTAATGTGTAACTAAATGTCTCCTAACTCGAATTAGACATAGACACTTCCAAGTAAAACTGAAGAGGTTTGGTGTTAGTTAGCCGGCAGGGCCGGAAGGTACTCAAGTCCGATACGGGAGGCACTCCAGCTGTGAATTGAGATTTCGGAAGATCTGTTTTAGCATTCTTTTTTTGTATTTAATTATTCTTTTTGCAGATTCACTCCTCACGGGCGAAAATGTTAGTAAATTCAACAGGGCTTTTATATGCGTATATGTCATACGCATATGTATATACGTATATGTCATAGTGAGCACAAGAAACGTTTTATTATTTGTTTTTCGAACAACGTAATCATGATCAAACAAGTTAAATGTGTAACAAAGGAATTGTTATTGCAATATCCGGGCAGTCACGACAATATATACATATTTTAACATGTAATAAATAATGAATCTTTAATAATAATTGTAACAATTTTACGTTAGAAAAATATACGCCCCTGAGCATAAGACCATGAAGGCTAAACATACACAGAATTATTATCATGAAACATCTATAACCATCACAATCATAAGATTACATAGAACAATTAACAACAAAGTACTTAGAGAATATTACCTGCTAATTAATACGGGTTAAACACTTTTAATTTTTCACTACTTATATATATTTTCACCGTGCAACACCCATATAACAGGTGACGTCGAAGTTGATACGATAAGTATGGTTTTGCACAATAGTTTATACAGTAAATACCCAGAGAGCCTATTTTAGAATAAACATTGTAAAACTTCATAAAATCTGGGTGTTCATGCTCATTTATTGGTGACAGTCTAATTATTGATGGCTTCACCCTGCATGAAATTATTGGTAAAGTGGTTCGCTTTTAAAATTGTATACCTAATTTTGTGTTTGTGCCATTAGCAAACTAAAAATAATACAATGCCATCCCACCTTACGCCTAAATTATTCCAGTGCGGTGCCCTTGAAAAAATCGGGTTAACATTTAAAGGTTCCAGCGCAGAAAATAGAATTTAGCAGTTTCCAGCCAAATAACTGCCGATTTAAAAAGTCAATTGCCTATTTCCTTTCTCTGGGGGAGATGCTCGAATGACCCCGCGTCTAAACGACATTAACAGAGAACGCTTTCCCGCCCGGGGCTGTGACTCGACTCAACTCAACTCTTAACCAAACTCAGTCGACTCGAAAACGCCCGCGGCCCGCCTAATGCCTCCGTTGTCGCCTAATTATGCTACATTACCGCGACTTGTAACTTCCATAAATACGGCTGACGTTCATTTTATTAAATCTTTTAACAAGATTTCATCTTGCCGGCGAGATATTTCATTAAAAATTATCCTCGCGGTGAATTCCGAAACATTGCCGGGACGGGAACGCTGTTATTTCATACTTCAGGAGTTTTCGACATCGATCCTCAGTTCGGGGGGTTATCAGGAGGCAGATGAGTTTTCTGCGGTACTCCCAAAACCCAGTGCAGAGTCCATCGTTAGCATAATCGAGGTGTACTGAAAACCAGTCATTAAAAAAAAATATGGAAACTTCGGTAACTGTATTAAAGCTCAAAAGTAACTTATTTTTATGAGGCTTATAATGTTTGGTTGTTTCCCTTGAAAAGTTATCTGTGATTTAGGTCCGAACTACTCATGATACGTATTTACGGTTATTTGGCCGTTTCGAATCAAAATGTACGAATTAAGATCCTATCGTGAGGACTATATCCAATTGGATTGCAAGAATAAAAATAATAGTTCATGTTAATCTAGACAGGTTGTTTCAAAATATCATTTTTTTAAATCTTATATTTGAAATGTAATTTAATAATAATAATTGGATTCAGGTATCAATAGTTATCAATTCTAATTTTTTCTTTATTTATTCGGTATTTTGCCATTTTCAAAAAAAAAATAGTGAAATAAACCCTTACGCCAAGAGGACCAATCAAGGGTTATTTTTATGAAAATAGATTTGCCTAACCCAAAATCGCACAATGAAAAAAGGAGACAAATTAAAAAATATATATAATAATATAATATAAATAATAATAAAATTTGTCTAGATATTGCAGATGTGGTTTACTACTGGAGATTAGTTGTTTCCTACAATCTCATTTACTATTCTTGTCTTGATGTTATTTCTTAGCATACATGTGACTCTCAAAGAGCATATATGACTCTTATCAGTTTTCCGTGTGTCTCTTTCAAAATAAATTTAGTCGAGCAGACAAATCCTGACTGAATATACAGAGGATTTATTGATTATAGCAGATTTCTAATGATCGCTATATCTAAGTTGTAAGAGTTGTAAGAGGGTATATGTAGATTAATTACGGCTACATTTTAAAAGTATTTTGAAATATACAGGGTGTCCAGGAAAAGCGTACCATATCAAAGTTATGTATTTTTAAATGGAACGCCCTGTATTTTATTGCATTTTTAAAAGCACCATAAAAAAGTAGGTATTCATTAAAGGTTGTGCATACCTAGGACTATTGTTTGTGAGATATTTAAATTTTAGTGAAAATGGGTTAGCGCAGAAATTTTATATTAACAATAAAAAATAATTTTAAGAAAGCAGCTTTGCTGAGTGTATTTTAGATCCTTGAAGTTATAAATTATTATATTTGTCGTCACTTAGTATTGTACAGGGTGTTAAAAAAACTGCTGGATACTTTTTTCAACTTTAAACAACAATAACTTGGTTATTTTAAATGGGACAATCAGTATATTTTTACTTTGGGAGTTAGGATTTAAATAATTTCTCACTGAATATAGAAAATTTGCAGGTGCGTCATCTAATTGCATCCTCATTTTCTCATTATATTTAAAGAGACGTCATCAAGAG